GTGAAATTCAATGGAAAAGTCAGCTAAACTCATATCATTGTGGGAAAATTATACTACCAGTCCTTCATCATCTTACACGAAATAGGGTGAATACATCTCATTACATTGTGAAATGTGTCAAAATTGCCATTTCACTCATCTGCAAGCCTGTGAGGCGACTCACGAAATGGCAAGAGGAGTTGACTTTTGTGGATCTGTTGACGAATGCTTTCCACGAATGGAATTGGCAGAGTCGTAATTACGTGAAGACTGCCAGCCTGCCTTCAAATGACAAAGCAGAAATTGTTCAGATGACAACAATTCTCATCTGATTCCAGCGTAGGGCTCATCATTTGCGATTGAATGAATATGCTCTTCTTTGGCCGACTGATGAGGCCGAAGCAAGGATATGCGTTGGAATGATGTGAAAATGCGTCAATTTTATTTTTATTTTTCCCTCTTCACAACTCTCACTATCACGCGTGCATAATCCTCTGTCCTGCGATGGTTTGACGCGAATTCCGAAATGCCATTGTCTGCACACAATGACGCAATGCTCATGAGTAGTATGAGTTAAATCCGAGATTTTTCGCTCTAATCCAGTCCTCATTCCAGCCGCTCAACCGAGAAGTGAGCAGCACTGACATGTCGGATCTGAAGGAGGCGCCCTGTTCGCTTCGAATTGGCGCAAATCGATCACACTCGTCCGCGTTGCATTCACTCATTTGCAGAAGGACACCACTTTGGTGCCTGTCGGAAGGTTTTCCCCGTTTCTGCTGCGCTTTTCGTGGCGCGCTTCGGTTGTCTCCCATTTATATGCAAATTATCATCTTCTTTTGCACCGCCCGTTTTTCCGCCGGATGAGCCGAAAAACGCCACAGCAACGAGAGGCCTCACGGAAGGCCAAGATAGACCCATTGCGTAGCGATCGGTACAAGATAATGAGCCGACTCGGCGATGGTGGGTTCTGTGAAGTGTTCAAGGCGAAGGACAACCAGACGGGCCGGTATGTCGCCATCAAGCGGGTGGACCGCTCGAAGCCGACCTACCAGAAGTATTCGGCCCGAGAGGTGGAGCGCAAGATCAAGCGTCTGATGTACCGTGAAGCGACTATAATGCGCGCTCTGGACCATCCGAATCTGGTGAAGCTGTTCGATCTGGTGGACGAAACGGAGCAGATCTACTTGGTCATGGAATTAGCTGAAGGCGGCGAGCTGTTCGATCGCATCATCAAACGCGGCAAGTTCAGCGAACGCGACGCGGCCATCATCATCGCGCAGATCATCAGCGGCATCAAGTACATGCACGACTCGGGCTATGTGCACCGAGACATCAAGCCGGAGAACATACTCTTCGAGACGCAGCATGACGACTCGAAATTGCTCATCACCGACTTTGGCCTGTCGCGCGAGCTGCAGCCGAAGATGATGACCAACTGCGGCACCGTGGACTACAGCGCGCCGGAACTGTTGAAGAGCAAGTTGACCAAAGGCGGCTACGGGCCCGAGGTGGACAACTGGAGCATCGGGGTCGTCTCCTACATCCTCCTGTGCGGCTATCCGCCCTTCTACTCCATCAATCAGGACGACGGCGAGATCAAAAAGCAGATCATGGCCGGCATCTACCACTTCCATCATCCACATTGGGATCACATCTCCAAGTCGGCCAAGGCATTCATCGCTTCGCTACTCAAAGCCGATCCCGAAGAGCGCGCCACGCTCGAGCAGGCCATCACGCATCCGTGGATTAAGTTGGAGTCCAGCTCCACATTGGACATCTATCCACTCATCGAGTCGAGCATGCGAGACACTCTGGCTAAGCAACGCTGGCGTTGTCTGGGACTGGCGGCCAACGCCATCAACCTGTTCACGATGGCCAGTCCCACGCTCAGCAGCCGCTTCTCCACGCCCAGAACTCAGGCCCCCGTAACCAGCCCAAACTAGGCACTATATAGCCGTCAATCTATCCAGATCTACATTTAGCCTTCTATCCATCTATACAGCTCTCAATCTATACTTCTCTTCATCTATTCATTTTGACTTTGTTTCTCGCTCTTTCGCCAAATCTCAACCAATCCGTCACTCCATCTATCCACCTATCTATATATCTATTTTTCTATCCATCTATACAGCCAAACATCCATCTATTCATCTCGCTTTTACGCCATTTTGCCAACTTGCTCTTAATCTCTCCAACTCTCCATCTATTCATCAATCTATTTCTCTAACTTTCTATCCATCTGTCCATCGGTTCATTTATCCATCCATCAAGCTATCCTTCTCTGCATCTCTTCATGTTGCCTTTGCTTTCTTGATCTTTCGCAACTTGGCTATCTCACTTTCAACCAATCTGCCTCTCCATCTATCTATCTCTTCATTTTTCTATATATTCACCTATCTATATATACATCTTTATATCCATCTATATAGGCACACATCCATCTCTTCATCTCGCTCTCACGCCATTTTGCCAACTAGCTCTCAATCTCTTTAAGTCTCCATCTATTCATCAATCTATTTCTCTATCTTTCTATCCATCTGTCCATCCGTCCATCCGTTCATTTATCCATCCATCAAGCTATCCTTCTCTCCATCTCTTCATCTTGCCTTTGCTTTCTTGATCTTTCGCAACTTGGCCACCTCACTCTCAATTAAATCGTCTCTCCATCTATCTATCTCTACATATTTCCATCTATCCACATATCTATATATCTATTTCTCTATCTATCTATATAGCTACTCATCTATCTCTTCATCTTGCTCTTTCGCCATTTTGCCAACTAACTCTCAATCTCCTTAAGTTTCCATCTATTCATCAATCTATTTCTTAATCTTTCTATCCATCTGTCCATCCGTCTATCGGTTCAATTATCCATCCATCAATTTATCCTTCTCTGCATCTCTTCATGTTGCCTTTGCTTTCTTGATCTTTCGCAACTTGGCCATCTCCCTTTCAACCAATCCGTCTCTTCATCTATCTATCTCTTCATTTTTCCATATATTCACCTATCTATATATACATCTTTATATCCATCTATATAGGCACACATCCATCTCTTCATCTCGCTCTCACGCCATTTTGCCAACTAGCTCTCAATCTCTTTAAGTCTCCATCTATTCATCAATCTATTTCTCTATCTTTCTATCCATCTGTCCATCCGTCCATCC